AGGAATGAGGGAAGTTGCAGCTCCAGAGGATCCCGGGATGCTCCCGAGGAGCAAGGGGGCTCTTCCCAAAAGTTCTGGCTCCTTCCTAAGCACCTCCTGCTCCAGCTCTGCTGTTTGTTCCCTCTTCCTCCATCCCATCCCAATCCCAATCCCAATCCCAGGCTTTTCCAAAGGCTGAGCAAAAACAAAACCCTAATGCAGACCAGATGTCCTGGGAGGCTCCTGGGCCTTGGCCAGGGCTGGGAGTTCTCATTCCAGCCAGGCAGGAGAGACTTTTTTTTCCCTGTTTTCCCGAGCTCCCAGCTCTTGTTCCCTTTGGATCTCCCCTGTCCCTTGTCCCTGACGCTCCGTGGGGGGTGTTTTTGTCGGGGATTTTCCCTGGATTTGGGGTTTGATCCCTGGCTCCCAAGGGTTGTTCCAGGGAAAAACTTGGCCTGAGGATGAGCCACATGGATTCATCCCCAGCCTGGGAGAGCAGCAGCTCCTGGGGGGGGTTTTATCCCTGTGGACACTGGAAATTCCAGGCGGCAGTGCCGGGATTTACCCCCCAAAAGAGCAGGAATGCAGGGATTTGTGCCCAGGGAGCCCCGTGGGTGGCACTGATCCCCAGCAGCTCCTTAATCCCAGTTTAAACCCACTCAGCTCCTGAGCTCCTTGCAGGGGCCCCCCCCGGGGAGGTGGGGGCAGGATCCAGGACTCGGGAATGGGGCTGGATCCCACCTGGAATGGCTGGAGGGCCTGGGAGGAACCAGGTGGAGCCAACCTGGTTGTTCCCCTTTGTTTTTTTTCCCCCCCCCTCCCCACACACTTTTCCTTTCTCTTTTTGGGTTCCTGGGTGCTTTTTATCGTCATGGTAACGGGAGAGGCTCGTGCTGAGGGACCTTCCCAGATCCCTCCGAGCTTGGAAAAGGCTCGGGAGCCCCGGGAATGGAAGGGGTGAGGGGTCGGGAGACCTTCCCAACCCGACTCGTGTTGGCCTGGGGGGCTCTTCCCTGTTTTCCTCCAGGAGCTCCCACCCAACCTGCCCATCCCTTGGGGCTCATCTTGGTTCCTCATCCCCATCCCTTGTTTTTTGAGCTTGGAAAGGGCTTGGAAGCTTTGGGAATGGAAGGGATGAAGAGCTGGGAGACCTTCCCAACCCAACTCACGTTGGCCTGGGTGGCTCTTCCCGATTCTCCTCCAGGAGCTCCCACCCAACCTGCCCATCCCGATTCCTCATCCCTATCCCTGTTTTTATCCCCCCCTTCTCCCAGCTCTGAGGCGTCTGGCCCCGGCAGCGCCACCATGGGTGACTCGGCCGCGGGTCCGTGCCGGGCGCCGGGCCCGGATCCGCCGGCGGCGGCGGCGGCGGCAACGACCGCCCAGGGCAACGGGGGACCCTCAGCCCTGAGCGTCATCAGCGAGGGCGTGGGCGAGCTGGCCCTCATCGACGCCGAGGTGGCCCAGAAGGCCTGCGAGGAGGTGCTGGAGAAGGTGAAGCTGCTGCATGGCGGCGGTGGTGGTGGTGGTGGTGGCACCGTGCCCAACGGCGAGGCTCGGCCGGACGAGGAGGAGGAGGAGGAGGCGGCGGCGGAGGAGGACGGGGCGGCGGCCAGCGCAGCCAGGACGGCGCGGCGGCGGCAGAAGAACAACTCGGCCAAGCAGTCGTGGCTCCTGCGGCTCTTCGAGTCGAAGCTCTTCGACATCTCCATGGCCATCTCCTACCTGTACAACTCCAAGGAGCCCGGCGTGCAGGCCTACATCGGCAACCGGCTCTTCTGCTTCCGCCACGAGGACGTGGACTTCTACCTCCCGCAGCTGCTCAACATGTACATCCACATGGACGAGGACGTGGGCGACGCCATCAAGCCCTACATCGTGCACCGCTGCCGCCAGAGCGTCGACTTCTCGCTGCAGTGCGCGCTGCTGCTGGGGGCCTACTCGTCCGACATGCACATCTCCACGCAGCGCCACTCGCGGGGCACCAAGCTGCGCCGCCTCATCCTCTCCGACGAGCTCAAGCCGTCCCTCCACAGGAGGAGGGAGCTGCCCCCGCCCCAGCTCGGCCCGGCCCAGGACGCCACGGGGCTGTCGCCCTCCAAGAGGACTCACCAGAGGTCCAAGTCGGACGCCACGGCCTCCATCAGCCTGAGCAGCAACCTGAAGCGCACGGCCAGCAACCCCAAGGTGGAGAGCGACGACGAGGTGAG